ACTGCTGTGTAAAATGACTGCGAGTCTCCGAGAATATCAAGGCTAATAGTTAAGGCGCACAATGAGGTGCTAAGAATGAAGGAAATAGAAAGGGCCAAGGAGCAGAACAGAAAATTTTCGTGTCATGAGTCATGAACCAAAAGATTTTTGCGAATAAAACATAATTTGTTTTATCCTACTAGATTGGAATAGCCATAAGTGAACAAAATGTTCTGCCTCACACACATGGGTTGATCGTGGTTATCGCCCCACTGTAATGAGTGCCGGTCAGATACACAATCCTTCCGCCTTTTGTGATGTTAGGCTTTCTCATATTTAGTTGTAGGTTTTTATTGATGTTTTATTCAAAGCTTTTTTGTATACTTTGTCGAAATACACTTTATAGATAGAATGGGTAAGCAGCGGACGAAAGGTGGCGAAGAAAAAGTAGTGTTAGAAATTCCTCAGTAAGGCGATAGGCAAATAGGAAAGCAAGGTGTTTGAATGTTAATGAATTGGGGATACAGAGATTTATTATAATAAAGATAATAATAATATTTATTCTCAAATAACAGTACGTTACAAGAGACATGCCAGTTTACAGGCTAGATCTAAATGTCACAAATGCTTTCGCAATTACTGTAAAAGTTATCGCAGTCAAATTAAGCATAAGAGTCACACATTTATATTATGTCACTGACAGAAACAGTATGATGCAGCCACATTTTCAATAGGAGAGTACAAATAGGGAAGGTGCACAGTAGGTTTCTTTGGCGGTTTGTTTAGATCAATAGTAAATTTGTTAGGAAAGTTCACTTGGAACGCGCTCGATAAAAGCTGTAATCCAGAAATGCATGTACATAGGGTGCATATTCCCTAGAGGCTCCATGAATTTACCACTGTGAATAGGGTTCTCAAAAGAGAGAAAAGATGGGGAGAAAAAAGGCAGCAGCGTGGCACTGCTTAACCTGTTATATTGAGGTAGAAAATGCAGTGGTACATCAAGATAAAATTCATACTGACAACTATAATAAAAGTAAATTATAACAATATAACCTACAAATGAACGAAGGAAATGTCAAGTGGATAGAAGAAAAACTGAAGTAATAAGCTGGATTCAGTTACGTTGAAACCGAAATTTCAGTTAAAAGAGTAGATTTTGTAAAAAAACCATTGATAATTAAAAATTTTCACTGTCTAAATTTTGTTTTATATTTAATGACAACCTCTAAATCAAACTGTATTAAGCTGAACAAGAAGCAACTCACATTGGTGCAAGAAGCTTGAGATCCAAGTGATCGCCAGTAATTTATCAGCATCTACAGGTTTTGTGTTACATTCGTCATTAGGTACGCTTGAAGCTTTTACGGGTTCACAGTAATCAATAAACGTGAACGAGACAATGAACCAGCCTCCAGGTAGGCTATCTTTATCCGAAACGTCAAAAGAGAAGTCTTCATAAGCGTAGAAAGTATATTCTACAAATACCCAGTAAGCACAATACAATCAAGCACACAACTCTCGTTTATTTATACATCACAGAAACGTCCTTGGGACGGTTACAAAAACAGCACACTAAAGTACACAGCAGCCAATCACAGCCAAGGATTTTCCTGGTTGGAAATGAAATCTCAAGGTCAACTAAGCAGCCCATGCTCGCGAACATGAAATCCAAAACAAGGCATCTATCGTGCGAGTTCTGCGGGTCTAACGTCCCCAGAATTTTGAAGTTTGTCTGTCTACCAGGAAGATGAACCTAAAGTGATGCGAAAGATAAGTAGTTAATGATGCGACTCCAAACGTTAGGTGTAGAAGCATAATGCACGACCTACTGCTGTTAATAGGAGTGGGGGGATTTGTTTGTCATTTCATGATACGCCCACAAATGGCAATAGGGGTACATTATATTCGTGGTCTGTTAATAGTTTTTCAAGGTAAATCTGGATGATAAGTGGACCTTGAAAGAGTACGTTTAGGTTCTCTGAGTTCTGGAAACAGTTGGTAAATCCTTTTGGCATGTAACAACTGCGTTGCTGGTTACTTGAACCTCGCATTTGTACACAGACACGGATACAATTTGGTAATATGTTCCTCAATAAACCGTACCAAGTTGCGAAGAAATCACAAAGTAATCTATCCGATATTTTTATTCTGCATCAATTTTTTTTTATTCCATGCTCTTTCTTATTTTAATGCCCCTCAATTTCGGAATTCTATCTCGTGTGGCTGCCCAAAACCACTACAATTTCTATCTCTCGATTAGGATATATGATTTGCGTTTCTGTTAATTTCACTTTACAGTCGCTGTTTACTAAAAATCTGCAATCCTTATCATTGTTGTTATTATCGGCTTCAGCATTATGAAACATATAATCGATTTTCATTACGAAAAACGTATCATATATTTCTCGTTTTATGTCACTGCAAGTGGTTTTCCTGAGAAGAGTGCTCTTTCATGAACCGGAAAATTTTGTTTTTATGCTACAGTAATCATTTTTCCTCCACTTCAAATTCATCACAAACGCAAGAATTGTCAGACGTTTGCTAAATAATAACGATGCCACAGATTTTCAGAAGTGGGCCATGCATTAGTCCATAATATCTTTTCCACCACCGATGCTCAAAGTGAAGTCAAACCAGAAGTCCGTAATAAAGAGAGTCGAAGGTGTGATTTAACAATGATTGGGATGTCGAAAAATGAATAAACCAAACTTACTTATTCATGCGAAGAGATTCAATGTACAGGGTACCTTCATTGTGATCTGGTGTGGATGCGTAACCTCGTACCTTCAACCATGATGTGTCCGGTGAGACTAATGACGTGAGCATCACAAAACATTTATTTTCATGATTAGTTTTTTTAAGACACGTCTCAATCACGGAAGTTGCGAATACAATTTTCAGTCCTAGACTGAAACAAATGTCATACTTTAACCTAAGAGACCTTTTTGTTTTACCTCTATGAACTATCACAGTCATTATCGATCTGTGGGGATTTAAGTATTCCCACTGGTTTTTTATGTAGGCTTAAGAAAAGTACTGCTGCTAATCATGTGAAAAGTATTGGTACCGGCCCCGCTCTCCACATTATGGATCTGATGCCAACTGATATCATGGTAACATCCGGGTGTATTCGTTATTCTACAGTTATCGGCCAGTTTCTGTGAAGGTAGACAAGTTCTCACTTAACTATATATAACTAATTATTCTCTGTCTTGCCTTACCATTACTCTTCTGCTTTGCGAATCCCTTTATTTAATCCTAGATCTCTTTACATCATCAAATACCTTATATATCTTCTACTCCTTTGGAATCCAGGCACTGAAAGTATCAGAGCAACCTAAAACAGACCATCCTTTCTAAATGATCAAATATTATTTTCTGCTTTGATATGGAGAAAATTATAATTTCATCAAGGAGTACACTGTTGTGACTTTCAGTATTATGGCGAAGAGAAGAACTTTTTGAAGTAGCACAACTGGTTACTTGATTGAACATGTATTGATATTAAGAACTGGAAAAAGAAATATTGATCTACTTACTGTACTCAGGTGCTACATCTTAGATCGTACACCTCATGGAGAAGAAGACTATAGTCTAGTGAATCTTCATATTATTGCACAACATTGCCCTTTATGTATTTAAGATCTATACACGTACTAATCTTACTGTCAATCTCCTACCAGTTCACCATCTTCCATATATACTTTAATGTCCTAAGATCAGTTTGTTTAGATTTGAATGGTCTTATAAATATTAAATTGACAAATACGTCTAATAACTTGCCAGGTCCTAATAAATATCCTGTTTGGCTGAAGCTCTTTTTGATGGAAGTGCGACAACCAGTCATGGTACTGGAGTTGTTTTTCTGTGACTGGTACTTTAAAGACTCATATTCTAGACCTTGTAACAGACTTGCTACCCTATTTCTAGTTAGTTCAAAATCTTATGATTGAACTAACGTGATCGAATTTGACTGCATAAAACAGTAATAAAGTAACAACGATAGCATTGACCAAGCTTTATGGACGTCTAAATTCTTAACGATCTTTAACCACTTTTTCTAAATTATCAAACACTCTTTGCATGCTGTAAACCAGCCTTTCCTTCACACGTCAACATACATCGCAACTGATTTTCGCAATCTGATAGTGGTTTCACTAAAGATTCTTCGTTTTCAGAATGCAGTTCAGTGCAGTGCCGATTAAAACCAGGTCTAATCATATGGAAGGTTCTATGTAATGCAATACGTTCCATTTTACAGGCATTTCTAAGTCACAGTTAAAAACTTCACAGTTTTAGTTTATAAACCACTGAATTAGTAGATTTCATGATAGAAGCTAGGACCTTATGTAACAGAAAATATTCTTTCAGCCAATTTAGTTCAAAAGGACTGTTGACATCACAATTAGCTCGTAATATCGACTTAACTACTCATTCGAAGGCGTTAGCAAACGAAACAATCCAGCTTTTAACTATTTACGCGAGTACACGTAAAAATGTTTGCACTTAAGAAAGTTTTACAAATGAATCTGGAACTAATTAAAAAGTGAACCTTTGATTAAACTAATCTCTTAGTGGTGCAGTGATTAAAGCAGTTAGCAATAGGAGTATTCGTCAATGAGATTTGTCACTAAGTAAAAGAAGTACAGATTTTCTTCTAATAAAGTAATTTTGTTCTCTATACATTGGATAAATCTGAAGCTATCTGACAACGCTTATGATCTTATTTATGCATTTTCAAATCCATTTCTGTAAGTTATGTTTCACTTCACAATTGAACGATGTACATCATGTTGAACATAGACAGTCTTCGAAAAGATTAATAATATCATGAAAAACAAAGTTTTTTACAATTCCAGAAAGTTTTCAAATGAATCCATTTGCATTTTGATCTGACTGTTTCTTGACAACGTTTTAATACTTGGTTGTGCAAACTTACCTCCTGTTCAATTGTTCGTTCAACAATTGACCATTCAAATTCGACCTCGAATTGTCTCTTGAACACGAGGATATAGAACATGATATTGGCCAACAAGGTTGCGACTGCGTCATTTGATCAGCTGGCTGCGGGTGGTAGGTTTTTGTTGAATGTTTGATGGGAACATGTTTTAAGAGTTAAAATAAGAGGAATTAGAGCTCGTTGTTTAGTACTCGTTGTTAGATATTACTTGGATGTAGGGTTTTTTTAAACATGGAGTTTAGGTTCTTCTACTTAGTTTTATAATGTAGTCTCACTTTAAACTTCAGGAGGCTGTGCGGCCTACGTCAGTCCTGAAAATGGTTGTCTTTGAGTCGATTCAACTTCCTTTTGCATGCATCGACAGACGGAGCTTCTGTCTCATGTCCAGGTAACGAGTTCCATTCGTCGATTCCTTGTGAAAGTCAATGATCAGCTGTCAATTAATTTTTACAGTGCTTGTAAGCGTTTCCCAAGTTTCCTCGTGATCCATTTAGGAAAAGCCATATCACAACGGCGGTAGGTATACTGTCTTACTCAGACACTGACCAAATACGAAACCAATTTTTCGAGAAAGAAAACCTGGTTAGATAAATACCTTAGGATCTTTAAACATCTGGCAAATTATTGCATCTGCCTGTTTTCACTCATTACGTTCTCTGATTAGTGGTTTTAAATAACGCAGTCGATCCTATACGTTATGGGATATTCGGGGGGAACGATTGTAACTTCGCTAAATCACGAAAGAAGAACATTAGGAGTCTGAATACACTAAAATATTTTATGACCATGAGTAGCCCTATGCCTACAAATGTGATTGATACATGTAAACAATACATCCGGTTAAAAAAATTAGTATGGAAGTAGCGAAGAACTGTTTAGAATACTGTAAACGAGCGATCGATACATTTAGTCTCTAGCCTTCCTGCGAGTCATACATCTATGTAAAATGCTTTGTAATTAACTCATATTTTTGCAAGCGATAGTATGCATTCCAAGTACTAAGTTTAAGTAGTTTGTAACGTAATGGTTCATAATAATCTGTTTTTAGCCGATTCAACTCATTCACATAGATATTAACAGCAAAACGTAAGACGTTCAGTCCCTTGACCACTTAATGTTCGCAGTGTTGAGAGTATTGATTACATCTAGGGGGTGTTGTGCGAAAGAGAGAAATAAATAAGTACGTAATACAAACTTTTCAGTTTTTGGACCAGTTTTACCTCGAATTCGAATGACTAACTGCATTAATCTTTTGTCCATGAAAGTTATCTCGACAAGCTGTCAAACAGCATCCATAAACCCTATTCATTTTTGCCTTTAGGGAACAAATGTGCGTTTATATAATTTAATTACTCATTTCTACAGCCGTAAAACAAAAGATTGGTCCCCGTAACATTGTCTAACTTGTTCTTCATGAGTATATACAGATCTGTACTTCTGGCCACACTTGGTGTTGCCTGTTGATTAATTTTGTCAACCAGAATTTTTCAGTCAGTTCCTGTGCTCCCATTCACGTTACATCGCGTTATTGTTTTGAATATTGTGACGAGCTGTAACCTGACCACAGTGATACCTAATATCATAAAACAAAATTTCAGCAACTCTGTAAATTAATCAATTCTCATTCATGTAGATCATAAAGCTATGCTTTGTGTACACAGTTCTATAGTTCCATGACTAGTAGAGTCGTAGAAATGAATATGTGACTTTTGGTTTACAAATGTTAGCAGATTATAAGACATTTAAAAATCAAACTAAATCACCCTATGCTCATATAGATTGAGTAATAATATTATTACAAGTAACTTGAAATTTGCCTCGGTACTACCTTTATTATAATCTAACACTTATTACTGTCTTTACATCAACAGTGTTTTCGCCTTTCTATCTCATTTTCGTGCACAGCTAACTCTGTTACTCATACATAACACCGTACTAGTGTTATTAAATGCTTTAGTTTAGGTATTATTGATTATGGACCTCCAAATAGCATCATACATATTTACCACCCTAAGCAGCAATGCAAGCATGTTTGGGATGCGGTTTTCCCCGTCGAAATGCAAAATGTTGCTTCAAGATTGGGTTTCATCAGCACCTGAACTAGTGATAGGGAGTGAAGTAGTCGAACGTGTAGATCGCTTCACTTATCTTGGTAGTCTCATCAGTGCTGATGGCCTGGTGACTGACGAAATCTCAGCTCGGATACAAAAGGCTCGATTGGCTTTTGCCAACCTGCGTCACTTATGGCGTAGGCGAGATATCCGTTTGCTGACTAAAGGACAAGTGTACTGTGCAGTGGTTCGCTCCGTCCTACTGTACAGAAGCGAGACTTGGCCGTTAAGAGTAGAAGACTTCCGTAGGTTACTAGTCTTCGATCATCGATGTCCGAAGCATTGCTCGTGTATCCTGGGACAACCGTATAAGCAATGCTGTCGTTAGGAAACGAGTACTAGGCAAGGATGGCAGATCAATCGATGAAGTGGTGAAACTTCATCAGTTGAGGTGGTTGGGACATGTCTTGCGTATGCCGAACCACCGACTGCCTCGACGAGCTATGTTTTGTAGTGTAGGAGTAGGTTGGAAGAAAGTTAGGGGCGGCCAGACGAAAACATGGCAGAAATCCATGAAGTCATTGACGAGTGTACTGAGCCATGTCAGTAGTTGTCGACTACCTGGTTGGGGTCCGCGAGATGATAGTAACCGATGGTTAGAGACCTTGAATGACATGGCTCAAAACCGTTTGCAATGGCGCAGGTGCATCCACTTTTTGTGTTCTATGAAATTCTATGCTTCTGCATCCCTCGTAGTCTCTACCTTTCTCCTAAATTTATCTTACTGAATTATACTTCTCGAATCATATCTTCGCTCCCTAATCTTCTACATTACTGCAATTACTTCTATTATTTCTATCACTCTTGGATTTGAACTGACAGTTGCGTCTCTGTGCTGATGGGGGATGGCAACCTGAACTGATGTACTTACGTACGAAGTTTGCGTTGTATCTGTCTATCTGTCTATACATATTCACTAAGCATCAGTCAATGTTCGCTGTCATTAATCATATCAGTCCATAGGTATCATAAAGAGCGAAACTAAATGTGACGAATGCCTCGTAATATCCACATCATAACTTGTTCCTATCATGAACAGTTACCAACCTTATCCGAAGACCAGTCTTTCAAAATGTGCGATAAGGCGATGATACAGGGTGATTGGTCAAATTGTGGAGATTAACCTCTGAAAACGAAAGCAAATTACTTTTTACTGGTTTCGCTGCTAGTGTTCTCTGAAAAATTAAGGGCGAAGTAATAAGATAATCGAGCCATTACACACGTTAAAATTTTCTCCTCTTGCATAATTGTATGGTTCTTAATCTATTCCTTAACTGTTAGTATATTTCTTTTCTTATAGGCATTAGAATTATATATAATCAGCCACAACATGCGATTCTAGGCGATCACAGAAGTATCCCTCAAGAAGGTAAGTACAAATTTACGTCCTACCAACATCAGAAACTAGATTACTTATATTTCATTTAATTTATGACAAAAAATAAGTTAGTAAGTTAATAGTTCCCTTATTCTGAATTCTCGAGTATCCGGTATTTAGTCTGTAACAAACTAATGAATACTACATTTTTTCGTCAGTGGTTCTTTAATTGTGCTCTGTGTAAGCCGACTGTAGCTGTTACATTGACGTGGTCGGGCTTGCCTATAGTGATGAACCAATCGAGCCATATTGTTTGGGACAAATGTTCTTGAATGTTCTACCATAACAGGCACGTCGATTGGAGAATGGTGAGACTAAAAGCAGCAACTGAAAGTCTGAGGGCGAAGTCGTACTGCTGACTGCAGAGGAGAGTGACAGCAGTAAGGTGTTTCCCTCGGACAACCAGCATATGCAGCGATGCTACCTTCTCACAAGGAAGGAAGGGTTAGAAAATGTCGACCCTGAAAATTTCACACCTCATCTTGCGTAACGGATTTCCGTGTCCGGCGGTATGGCCTGTAAAACGAGAGCGGAGCTAAAACATCAAAAACTTCTCATGAAAATGCAGTGTGTGACTGGCCTCAAGCAGTTGTCTCTCGGAAGGATTTGATTTTGACCAATTTGGTCTCGTGCTGTTACAGGTATGAGGGTGGTTGTCACTTCTCGGCTGCCCACACAATGGAAGGGTGCTTCTTGAGGAACCTGAAACAGAAGAGCCCAAGGGACAACTGCTTGAGGCCAGCCACGCACGGCCTTTTCATGAAAGGTTTATTGAGTATTAGCTCCTCTCTTTTTAAAAGCCCTTATTGGGCAACCCTTCCTTCCTTGTGAGAAGGCAGTATCGCTGCAGATGCTGGTTGTCCGAGGGAAACACCTTACTGCTGTCACTCTCCTCTGCAGTCAGCAGTACGACTTCGCCCTCAGACTTTCAGTTGCTGCTTTTAGTCTCACCATTCTCCAATCGACGTGCCTGTTATGGTAGAACATTCAGGAACATATGTCCCAAACAATATGGCTCGATTGGTTCATCACTATAGGCAAGCCCGACCACCACGTCAAGTTAGCAGCTACGGTCAGGATCACTACCACTATCATTACTATCACTATAATTGCTACAAATATTAGCTGGTTTGTTCGATCGGTCGGCCCCCCAGGTGTCTTTCCTTTGCACTTAGTCCACATGAGCATTGAAGTGACCAGCCAATTTTACTATATCAAAGTGCCTAACTTTCTGGAGGTGGTCTTAAAGGCATCTGTAAAACTCACCTTTAACCTCGTCTGAACTGCATTTAGTAGGAGCGTAGGCAGAGACAACAAAAAGGCAACTGTATGGGTCCCTATCTTTGAGAGTCCTTACTTTTTCGCTTTGTCAGACAGCACAAGCGACTGTCTACTGGGGTCCAGTCTAAGAAGTCTGGTTCTGCCCCAGGACTTAGTGATATACCTACACCAGCGAAGTAACGGGAAACAGGAGCAGGGCTCCAAGATACACGAAGCGTAAACCGAGTTGATTCTCTATCTGGAAAAGTTGAAATCAAATTATTGATTTACTCGGATCCTGTATGCGCGTTTCGAAGACTCAGTATACATCGATGGCACGGGAAGGAAGTCTCTTGCTCTATTGACACTAGGTTCGAATATTAAGAGCTCCAACCTTTTGTTTAGAACGGGAATAATGTCCTCTTGTGACAGTCATAAAGGAATTAGTCTCACTAATATAGTATCGAAAATATTGGCCTCATTATTACTCCGACGCTTAACGAAAGCTCGTGCAGAGCAGACTGTCGCTCGTTCTGGGGCACATGTTTAGATTTAGATCATGCTATTGCGAGCACGCATTTGTTTGAGACTTACTGGAAGTAGGTAAGACACCGCTAGGAAACCTCTCAGGGTTCTGCGTACTGATAGCTTAGCTAAGAATATATTTCAGGAGCAACTAGAAAGACAGACGACCATGTAAGTAATTGCCATCCGTAGGCAGCTTGGAGTGATATCGAAAAGACTGTGTAAACAGCAGTGATATCTGCTAGTAAGGTAAACCATAAGGCTAGGTAGCAGCCGTGTGTCGCAGTGGCATCCACCGAACTGATAGACACTCGGAAACTCATCCCACCTGGCTCTGGACATGATGAGGAGCAAAATGAGCTTAAGTGCAGGCTGATATAAAGCTTACTCAATAATCGCGAACAGTGGTGGGTGGAGAAAGCGAGAGGGCAGCGGCAATAGGCAACAGTGCTGAGGATATTCGTGGGTTATCAGCATTCGATTATAGATGCCTTGTCGGCCGTCTCACAGCCATAAAGTAGGATGGAGCGAACTCCTGCGCAGTATACTCGCCTACGCCATAAGTGACGCAAGCTGGCGAAAGCCAATCGAGCCCTCTGTATCCGTGCTGAGATTTCATCAGTCACCAGGCCATCAGCACTGATGAGACTCCCCAGATACGTGAAATGGTCCACACACTCAACAACTTCACTCCCTATCACTAGTATAGGTGTCAACATAAGTCAATCTTGAAGCAACATTTTCCACTTAGGGTCGGAGAATCGCATCCCGAACATGCTTGTATTGTTGCGTAGGATAGTCAGAAGACTGCATTTTGTCAGCTTCACCGAATAGGACTATGTCATCAGCTTACTATAAGTAAAGAGCTGGTACAGGGTTAATGACAGACACTGTCATCGAACCTCACGATCAACATAGTCAAATGCCGACTTAAAGTCAAGGAAAACATCTATTGTGCTTATTTTCTTGGATCTATCGAAGTGTGAGTACTTGTTCCACACATCCCTGCACAGGTCTAGGACCAGATTAGTTTTCTCAAGTCTGCTCTTAACAAGCTGTAGTTAGGCGTTGAAGTATTATTGAACTTAATATATCTTAGATACTATATTAGTTAAACTGATTCATCTGTGATTGGCGTAATGGGACTTTTGACCTGTTTTGTAGGCCACGACAACGAGTAATTTAGACCAGTGAGATGGGATTACGTTCAGTTCCAGAATCTACCTAATATCTCAATCAATGTTACTGCCAAAACCTGATGTTTAAGGTTAAACACCAATTATTTAGCTGCTAGAGTATTACTTTGAGTATGCCGATTTATGCTAACGTTTATGTCTGACTCTACATAGATTATGACTGTCTGGTTTTCAGTTCAACTCAGTATCCTTACAATATCCTTCCTTCTCAGATATAGTTTCATAAACTAACAAAGTTTTTCAGGCCATATACTCACCTATGCGGAAAGCGACGCAACATAGAAGCTTATCAGTAAATTAAGCAAAATGCTTCCGTGCAACCGAATTCGTAAAAAGTTTGTAATCTTTTCTCAACGGGACCTCAGGCATATTAAAATGGCATCAAGACCAAGTGAAGGCAATGACAAAAGTTGCATTAGTAAGGCATTATTGGCTCCCAAGTGTCAGTTAGTCAGTCAGATGCAACGTAGAACTTGGTACGTAAGTACATCAGTTCATGTTGCCATACCACATCAGCACAGACATATAATTGTCAATTCAAATCCAATAAAAGTAGAGGTAGTAAGGGAATTAGAGGTAATCGGAGAGGTTAGGGTTAGAAGATACTATTCAAGAAGTATGATTCAGTGAGAAAAGTTTAGAGAGTCGAAACTAGAGGTGTTGAAGAATCCAGAAGATTAGCATTTGAGAGAACACAAAAAATAAATGCACCGGCGCCATTGCGAACGATTTTGAGCCATGTCATTCAAGGTCTCTAACCATCGATTATTATCATCTCGCGGACCCCAACCAGGTAGTCGACAACTACTGACATGGCTCAGTACACTCGTCAATGACTTCATGGATTTCTGCCATGTTTTCGTCTGGCCGCCCCTAACTTTCTTCCAACCTACTCCTACACTACAAAACATAGCTCGTCGAGGCAGTCGGTGGTTCGGCATACGCAAGACATGTCCCAACCACCTCAACTGATGAAGTTTCACCACTTCATCGATTGATCTGCCATCCTTGCCTAGTACTCGTTTCCTAACGACAGCATTGCTTATACGGTTGTCCCAGGATACACGAGCAATGCTTCGGACATCGATGATCGAAGACTAGTAACCTACGGAAGTCTTCTACTCTTAACGGCCAAGTCTCGCTTCTGTACAGTAGGACGGAGCGAACCACTGCACAGTACACTTGTCCTTTAGTCAGCAAACGGATATCTCGCCTACGCCATAAGTGACGCAGGTTGGCAAAAGCCAATCGAGCTTTCTGTATCCGAGCTGAGATTTCAACACCTCTAGTTTCGACTCTCTAAACTTTTCTCACTGAATCATACTTCTTGAATAGTATCTTCTAACCCTAACCTCTCCGATTACCTCTAATTCCCTTACTACCTCTACTTTTATTGGATTTGAATTGACAATTATATGTCTGTGCTGATGTGGTATTGTAGTGAATGAGAACACAGGTGGGGCAACCGAATTGTATTTAACGAAAATTACAGAGTTACTCAGTAAAATCGGAAAACCATATCGTAAATCGTTCATTTGCAAAAGATCAGTTCATCCTATGGAACTGGACTGTTCCTGTTGCCAAACATCAATCCATTGTCACTATTCATGCGTTTCATACAAATTCCATTGTTTCTAACTCTTCCTTTCTTGATCTTCCCCCCATATTATGCTACCAGACTTTACGTTGACACTCACGTTATATACTACTTATAAGTAGTTCGCACCACAGCACCACAGTATGGCAACATGAACTGATGTACTTACGTACCAAGTTCTACGTTGCATCTGACTAACTGACTAACATCGAAGCTGACTCCGCTCCTCATCGCTCTTAGAGCCAGGTGGGATGAGTTTTCGTGTATCCATCAGTTCGGTAGATGTTACTGTGATCCACTGCTTCTTCCTGGCCTTATGGTTTACCTTACTAGCAGATATAACTGCTGTTTCCACAGCCTTTTTGATATCATTCCAACCTGCTTCCGGATCGGAATCGCTAACATGGTTGCTTAACTCTCTTTGTAGTTGTTCCTGAAATATATTCCTAGCTTTAATATCATTGCGTAAAACCCTAAGGGGCTTCCTTACGGTATCTTCCCTACGTCCAGTAAGCCTCAAACAAATACGAGCTCGCTCTAGGGCATGATTTGAATCTAAACATGTGTCCCAGAACGAGCGGCAGTCCTCGATCGAACCTCTCCATCGGTGGCTGATGGCGATGTAATCTAGTTGTGTCCAACGTTTAGAAGAGTTTAGGGGTCGCCAGGTCAACACTTGCTTTTCCTTTGGCTTAAAATTAGTGTTTGCTAGAAATAGGCGGTTATCTGAGCATAGTTGCAACAGATGGTCGCGATTGTCTGTCCTTTGAGTCGCGACACCATAACATCCACCTAGGTGTCTCTCCTGCTCACTTAGTCTACCTACTTGAGCATTAAAGTCACCAGTCATTATTACTACATCAGAGCGTCTAACTTTTTGGAGGAGGTCCGAAAGCTTTCTGTAAAACTCATCTTTTACATCGTCTGAACTGCAGTCAGTGGGGGCGTAGGCTGATATGACGAAGAGGCAACGGCGAGTGTTCCTATCCTTTCGAATCCTTACTGCCCCATTTAGTCGGACGGCGCACAAGCGACCATCTACAGGGATCCAGTCTAGGAGAGATAGTTCTGCCCTAGGACTCAATGCTATGCCTACACCAGCGAGACCCCGGGAAGCAGCATCAGGGCTACCGGATACACGAAGGGTAAATCGAGCTGCTTCTTTATCTTGACATGGTGAGGTCAAATGAGTGATGCTACTCGGATCCTGTATGTGGGTTTCGGAGAGGCAGCACACATCGATGGCACGAGATTCTAATGTCCTAGCTACTGAAGGCTGTTGTCCTATTTGACACAATGTCCGTACATTAAATGCTCCAACATGTAGTTTAGAACGGGGCTTCAAGAGACCAGGAATAACGTCTCGAGGACTCGAATCTTTCTGCAGTAGAGGTGCAGGGAGATAAAGGAATGTGAGTAGAGTTAGTTGTTGAGAGAAGAGTGGTATGTGTGGGTGTATGAAGGATTTGATTTTGACCAATTTGGTCTCTCATGCTGTTACAGGTATGAAGGTGGTTGTCACTTCCCGGCTGCCCACACCGTGGAAGGTAGTTTCTTGAAGGACCTGAAATGGAAGGTAGATTAGTCTTGGTCTTGGAGACCTGGGAGCGTGACCGCAGAGCCCAAGGGACAACTGCTTGAGGCCAGCCACGCACGGCCTTTTTATGAAAGATTTATTGAGTATTAGCTCCGCTCTTTTTAAAAGCCCCTAGTGGGCACCCTTACTGCCGGAGACAGAAATCCGTGAGGTGGGGTGAGGTGTGACATTTCTAGGGTTGACCTTTTCTAACCCTTCCTTCCTTGTGAGAAGGCAGCATCGCTGCAGATGCTGGTTGTCCGAGGGAAACACCTTACTGCTGTCACACCCTTCTGCAGTCAGCAGTATGACTTCGCCCTCATACCTTGGGTAGCTCATCGTTCTCCAATCGACCTACCTGGCATGGTAGAACCTTCAGGAACATATGTTCCAGCCGGTATAGCTCGGTCGGGTCATCTCGATAGACAAGCCCGACCACCACGTCAAGATAGCAGCTACGGTCGGGCTTCCAAGTGTAGAACTAGGGTATGGTTATTGTATACCATATGCCCCAATTTTCATTATGATTGTCCTGGAAGGTACGATATACTGCATAGGCAGCCGGGCATCACCTTCACATTTTTATCCTATGGAATCCTTTACAGTAGCTTCTATTTCTGCTGCACATGAAGCTAAGTCTAAATGCTCAAATTTCCACAACAATACTCATTCTTAAAACCACTGCCTGTTTTTCATTTCATGTAGCTAATACCTCTCCATAGCTTTCTTAATCTCACAGATGTAAGTATAGCATTAGTTACGGAAAAAGTAAGTTTTTATTGTTTGTCTATACCTTAGCCGACTAAAGTTTGGGAAAATGAAAAATTGAATTTATCGAACGCTTTCGAACCTACAAACGTGTAAGGGTTTGAAAACATCTGTCTCAAAATGCCTTAAATTCTAGAGTTCATAAAGTATATATATATATATATATATATATATATATATATATATAACCCTAACCTAGGGGAGGTTAAAAAGTAGTTCTAACTGCCTGAATAAACAATTCTGACCTATCTTACTCAATACCAACCACCGAGCGCCATAGGTTATCACAATGCTTACTTAATATAATCAGTAAAAGATGACAAAATCAAAATGAATGGAGCTGTTACCTAAAACAAAATAAGAATATAGAAATACCTTATTGTGGCAGTCGAAATGTCTTATCTCACCAACTCTCTTCAGCTTTATCACTAATTATATTTTAAGAACAGCTCTGAGTTGAGTAAATGGTGGTGTATATCTCTCTCTCTTAGAAAGGCATTCCGATCTTAGGTGCGGGGGTGAGATTATCTTACTACTTGATCACATACTAGCTACCCAAATCGTACTTAATCAGTAGGTAATTCATGTCCGTAAGTCCGTATGTACTCTGCACTCTTGAAATATTCCTTCAAGACTACCAGGAGCAGATGTCTAAATTCATTCCTTATGGTGGACTTCTAAAAGTAATCAAAAAGCTCGTTTATCTGGGTAGTTATGTGATTGTTACTGGTGGCTTGGCAGATCAGGCCAACTTACTTATATTCAGAGCCAGAACGACTTGTGTCAATCGAGGACACCTCTGACTCTGTTGAGACGTTAATCTGGGTGTATAAGTTTGGGTTTACGACCTGTTTGTGAGATCATCTCTACCTTCGGTTTGCATACATGGCGCCGCAGAGCTGAGGATGTTTGGGGGCTCAATGCTTGGTCATCATCGTCTCAAGTTTTGCCCGCACCTGATGAAACACCATGTTAGTAATTCAGTGGTCTACCAACGTGTGTTTAGATGAAGTGACGATTATTCAGTTGCTGTGGCTTCACAAATATCACCTCAGCAACTCCCATATCGTGTATCATTTGCCGATTCTCGGATTGAGTAGAAAAGAAGAGGTGGTCAGTTGATAGCATAGTGTCATGGTGTGAAAGATTAGCATCTCCCAGTTCATAACGATGTTTCGACTCAGTGAATGCAGTTCAGATTAGGAACCAGTGGTCATCGTGCTTTAGGTTTTCCTTGTATACTTCATAAAGTGAAATGTTTCCTTATCTGAAAGTCTTTCTTAGATGTATCTTGACTTCATTTTTCCTAAAAAGTACTTTATATTCGTTTATTTATCGACTGTACTATCCGGCTATCTTTTGTTCCCCCATAATATTATCGCTTCAGTCGTATGGCTCATTTTTCGGATGCTCAGGTATACCAGAATTTACGCGCTGAAGTAAAGTTTTGTTTTTTCTAAACTGAATATGCGGTGGTTATATGCAGCTTTGCCAATAACAGTTATTATAACTTAACCGTACAGAATAAGTACTTGATTTTAATTTCCGTTTATCAACACGCCAATGTACATTTTTTGTCTTTTGTTCATAATATTATCTGCTCATTAGTTTCCAAAGAACACCTCATGGATGTGCTGTTAACCACTACACTTCATATTATACCTCTGTTCTTCTCATATAGATATCAAATTCCTTTGCAACCCATCTCAGCGGCTTTTTCCACAACACACAGTTTTGAGTGAACGCAAATTTGGCAAAGACTACGGTGAGCGAATATGATGTAGATAGCCCAGTAATATTTAAATCATTTTATCGCTGGAATGCTAAGTGAATGACATAGTTTTATAAATGTTTCCACTGATTTATTATAAATGATGCACTTATTAATCAGAGCAGAAAAATGTATTATTAAGTCATCATTGAGATTGATTTTTACTTTCAACACATTATTTCAAATGGACTGTTATCACTAATTCACACTTCATATAGTTTCTAACATAGCCCATAAATCGTTATTATCTGTTGACGTCACTTCCTATTCATAGGTCAATCAGTATAGTTTTAAAAACATCTAAACGACTACAGTGACATATTTTTGCTACCCTGACGTTTTAGGTTTGGTAGTTCGTCAATGTATCTTCCAGGAATTGAAGTAGAAATGATTACCAACAGTGGTTGACGTTTTGAAGAAATACTAGCTTTTCAGTTGACACATCGCCTATATATTTCCTGAAATAGTTTGACGTTTCATATCCTTTGTATCACCTGCATTTTATGGTTTATCGCTTATTAATCAGATTGATATTACTTCAGAATGATATTACTTGATTCCAGGGAAGATATTCAAATGTTCTTCTTGTGACCGAACTTTCACCTCCAGATCAGGGTTGTGGTATCATGTACAACTTGTTCACGAAGGTACGTTCTTTCTAATTTCTTAATGGTATAGAGTTAATGTTGTGTAAATTAGATATAATTTTGCATTCTTAGTTAAGTATTATCTGTCCTGTCCATGTAATAAATGTTATCTGCGAAAGAAAATATCAAGTAACTAGTATCTTTGTCAACGTATTCTTGGAAGGAATACTGTCAGCTAACTTTTAGACTTTCATAATACATTTGAAATGTATATAGTTTTGCCGTTTTTCATAAATCAGTTTCTCTATTGACACGAAAAACAAGCACTGTTTAAAAGAAAGTAAGATTAGTTATTTTTTTGACTTATGTAATCCATTTTTAAACTAATCACAGTTATAGTACCTAAAGTAGTTAATTTCAGCAACAAAATATTTCAGTGACTATTTGTTGAAGTTATTTAGTTGACATTTTTCATTTTTCAAAGTAATCAACTTACTGATGTGAATAAAGCAACAAAGATTGTAGTTAATTCGGTCAGGCCACAGTTTAATACAATGAATCGTGTTGCTAAAAATTTACGTACAATATTAATAATAAAATATCACAAGTCACAACCAGTGAGCTTAATTAATGCTTACTTCTTCAATTTAATTAAACAATCAGTTTCTCATCTCAAAGTGAAATTTTCCAACTTTCATCTTATTCAGTATTTAAGTTAATCATTAAAAAAACATCACTAAATTTAAGAAATCTATTTGTTGTTGTGCACATGACTAAACATTTGTATAAATTTTGTCTATTTGTAAATTTTATTTTATTTTCTTGAAAATACTACATCTAGCATATTTTTCATTTATCTACTTATCAATCTTTACAATTTTTGATATGCTTTAAAAATATCTTTTATTCTTTTTTCACAGTTCAAAATTATCCATGTGATCAGTGTTCGAGAACGTTCAGGTTAAAACAATATCTTATTGCACATATTCAACAAATTCATGAAAGTAAATTTTTCATTTATACAATAATACAAAGTTATCTTGTTTAATTCTATGATCATGTCAATACATCTGTTTATCCTATCTATATTTTTCATTTCAACTGAAAATTAAATAGTTCTATGATGAATAGTACACTGTTATTATTGTATTGCATTTTTTCCCTCAAGTAGGTTGTAGTAGGATAATGTTATTAAGCGTATTTTTATTACACATTGTGACAATTGATACCAATCATTAAATTTACATGATAGTATAATTGATTCTTAATTTTCTGGTAGATTTCCATTGCTTATTATATTATCAGTTAAATTATCTTGTCAATTAATTGCAAACATTTTAAACTGATATTCTAAACGTATTTAAGTGTACTTAAAAAAATAAAATCTATCCAATGTAGTTACACCGATTTTATGGGATAACATAAATGAGTTTATGATAGTGTTTCTGGTCTTACTTTTCACATCGCACAATTAATTCCCTTATGACTAAGATTATTCCAGTCCCTCCAATAACTTAGTACAATTGAGAGTGTGAAGATTTCTCTCATCCCCTTAAAATGCTCTCATATGACCACTCGTATATACCACTGTAAAGCGGGGGTGCTGTTTACGAAAAGCAAATGTTTGGTGCTCTGACCAAGTTGGTGTGTACAGAGGATCCATTCAGGGAGGTTGGCAAACCCTGATTCCAAGCCAATAATAGACATTTACACCGCTTAAGGAAACCAGTTGCTTCGGTTTCGGCACCCAGTCAGTATCCCAGCCCTCAAATTTACCGATTTGTGTGGCACCTAAATATTTTAGGTGTCCGTTTGTACAAATGTTTATCTATAATAATAATAATAATAATAATAATAATAATAATTGAAGCGTAATAATATGAATTCATTCTATTTCGGATCCTAGATAGTTACTGCTTCACGCTTTCTGTGATTTCGATATTTTTCTTCGAATGAACTTACCGTAGCTGCTACCTTGACGTGGTGGTCGGGCTTAATGTACGGACATTGTGTCAAATAGGGCAACAGGCCTCATTAGCTTGGAGATTAGAATCTCGTTTCATCTGTGTATGCTGCGTTTTAAAAAAGCACATACAGGATCTGAGTAGCATCTTTCACTTGACCTCACCATATCACGATAAAGAAGAAACTTGATTTACCCTTCGCGTATCTGAATGTCCTGATGCTGCTTCCCGGGGTCTCGCTGGTGTATGTATAGCATTGAGTCGTAGAGCAGAACTATCTCTCCTTGACTGGATCTCAGTAGATAGTCGCTTGTGCGGTGTCCGACTGAACGGGACAGTAAGGACTCGGAAAGATAGGGACACCCGTTGTTACCTCTTCGTCGTATCTGCGTTAGCCCCCACTGACTGCAGTTCAGACGAGTTTAAAGATGAATTCTTCAGAAAGCTTTCAGGCCTCCTCCAAAAAGTTAGGCTTAAGCGCAGGTTGATAGAAAGCCTACTCAACGATCGTGAACAGTAGTGGGTGGCGAAAGCAAAAGCGATGGAAAAGGCACAGGCAATAGTAGACAGTTGTCCCGCCTTATAAAGGAAACCGGTGTTAGAAATCCATTTGTTAACGAAACTATCTCAGGAAAGGATGGCTGTATCATTCATTCTCAGTCGAGTAGATTGGATCGATGGGCAGAACACCTTAGGGATCAGTTCAACTGGCCTTCAGCCATACATCGGTTGCCCACGATCCCCAGTCATCGTGAATGACAAATCGAGTTAAGTCGTCCGAATCTATATGAAGTTTAGAATGTGAAAATCTAAAGCGAAATAGAGCAGCAGGTCCCGGTAGGCTTACCCCTGAGATTTTTAAGGACGGTGGTCCAGTTTTAACAGTTAGATTGACCGAGAATCTGGGAACTGGACGTAATCCCATCTGACTGCTCTCAGCCGCTAGTTGTCCTAATTTACAAGAAAGAACAAAAGTCCTATTGTGACAGCCACAGTGGAGTAAGTCTAACTAATATAGTTTCTAAATTGTTAGCCTTGATTATACTTAGACGTCTAACTAGAGCTCGTGAAGAGCAGACTGGAGAAAACCAGTCTGGTTTTGGAGCTGGAAGTGGCTGTATAGACCCCATTGTCACACTACGACTGGTCCTGGAACACTGACACACATAGCCGTCCTACCATAGTTGTCTTCCTGGACCTTAAGGCGGCATTTGACTCAGTGGATCGTGAGGTTCTGTGGCAGTATCTGTCATTGAGAGGTGTACCAAAGAAGTACATTAACCTTATACAAGCTCTCTAATCGAACACTACAGGTTGAGTTAGGGCTTATGGCTAACTGTCATTGGAATTCTTTACTTCTAATGGTGTCCGCCAGGAATGTCCACTCTCTCCATTCTTGTTTAACTTTGTCGTAGACATCCTTTTAGAGTTAACATTATCCTCGTCAGATTTTTCAGGAGTAGACCTTCTACCGGGTTATGTTATACAAATACAGTTGTCAGCATTTAAGAAACAACAAACTAAAATCAGTTCATATTATTTTGCCGCGATTATTGTTATGGCTTTACTAAATTTCTGTCGTATCATGGTAACTGCCAAAATTTTATACATTTAATTAGATTATTTTCAACAATAATTATGATCTAAAATAAGTATAGCAATAGATCCCATTTATACATTTTGTCGAACGCTGGTCTATTCGTAGCATAACTTATATGCCTCATATAAATAATTTATCGTTATAACCATTCCACATTTTTGCCTCATTTATTCCCCTATCATTTGCGATTCATGTGGGCTAATTTCACAATGCGTTTGGTGCTTCTTGACGATTTTTAATGCGTCCATCAAATCGAATCACCGCTCCATCTGTCACAGTTTGGCAAATCAAATAGTTAGGCTTTGTGCAAAGTTTGTCACTCGAAACTGAATACAACCTGTTTCCTGATAAATGAGTTATATTATTATGATTAATAAGTATTAGTATTCCAGATTTATCTTTCAACCTCTTATTGTGTTTGTGATGACATTTTTACATAACTAATTAATGAAATGACAAGATTGTATTGTACTTTTATACTTATGATAGGAAATGTTAAGAAACTACAAATGAATCAATACTACTGCATAATTAATAGTTGCTTTCAGTCTTGCCATCTACGCATCGTGTTCCACGGTATCAAGTAGCGGTGGAAAAACATTTCAGTAGGGTTTTTCGCCAACACAGTGGTAAACTCCCAACTCTAATAGCCTATTAATTTTTGTGATTACTTTCTATTTGTTCTGTATTTCTGTCGCATTTATGATTTATATGTTTACTTTCACTCTAACTTCTAGAAAGATTGGCTAAATGTGAAGAATGTGGTACAACGTTTGCTTCATTGGGCAATTTAAAGAAACATGAAAAAAGTATACATGGAGGTATGTGATTTGTGTATTTATGTTTTTCATTCTTTCTTAGTTTGCATAATTGCTTTGAAATATATTTTGATGATCATAATTTCTGCTAAAACTTCAAGCTGACGATACTGTTTCAGTTACACAATATGACAATTATTTATAACGATAATAGTTGGTTTCGAATTGGAAGTAGTGTTATGACTAATTTACACTTGTCTACATTGTTTCGCTACTGACATTCCTTGTAGATAAATAAGTAATTTTTATATATTAAGGCATTGTGTTTTTTTCTGAAAATCTCGATATAATTCCTATGAAAACCTCGTACGATATATACATCCTTCTCGTTTATATTTTAATTTCCAAGCTTCTATTGAATTAACTGTTTACTTCTCTTGATATATACTGTAGTTAAACATCATGTTGAATATATATAAGTTATTAGAAACTGATTAGGTTACATTGTTGTAATATCATAAAACTTTCCAAAAGCTGTAGTAATCGTTTTTCTGCTAACTGTTGATTTAGCCTGAGATTTCGGCCACTTAAAGAGAAATTATCTATTCTTTCATGCGTAGGTAGTGTTTGTCAGAAAGAAACTTTGGTGATCGCCTTAGCCGTTTATCCTAAATGTAATTTTCTGTAGATCTCTCTGTTCCTACTTGGTCGTTGTATTCATTTAACACTTTCTGCCTTATCTGTACATGGACTTTCTTAGCTTTTCATAAATTGAATCTGATATTTTTCACTGGTTAGCAATCGGGATTGGTTTTATTATCATCTGTTTATCATGGGGTTAATTCGCCGATTTGAACGTTGAATGTTGTACACAATTGAATAAAAATTCAGTAGATACAAATGTGTATTAGTTACTTATTGGAAATTATCATTACTACATCTCATAAACATTCTAAATTGTATACTTCACCCTAGTTTGCTTTTGAAATCCTCAGCTGTACTCATCAACGGTAGATCTATAGGTGTAGGATCTTAACCTGAAGGTCCATCTACCTCAGTTCCTCAAACGGTATTGATTGATGAGAAGCAACGTTTAAAATTCAATAATCACACTCCGGTGATTCTGTACTCAACAGTAGTTCTTTCTAATCAATTACTAATATTTTTCGATAATTCCATTATTTGAGAGGGAGAAAATTTGTAGCTCAGATGGAAGCGAAATATTCGAATTTCTCCACGTTCGACCCGTAGCTTATTCTGTTAACCTTGATCTTAATTGTTTGCTGTTGACCTTAAATCTGTCGTTGTTTTCACCTTTATTTTGATTGTATCCCCCTTTGATCTGTTTCTTCATTTTATATTTGCTTATGATTTTTCTAACTGGTAGATAAACTGGGTCAATGTTTGTGTATGTTGATTGCTTATTGATCTGAGTGCTAAGCCTCTAAACATTATCTAGTGTTCTTTGTGCTCCATCTACCCAGTATTTCGACATTATTCCAGTCGAATTTATGTCCATACTTGTTCGTATATATTGATAGAAGGGAAGTAATGTCATGGCCTTTGACTGCTAACTGATGTTCACGCAGACGAAGCTGAAGAGGACGTCCACTTCGTTCTATGTAGTGTTTTGTACAGTCTGAGCAGTTTATTTCGTAGATGATACTTAGTTTTTCTTCTTTTGTCGTTTGGTCCTTTGGTTTACATAGGATTGATTGAAGTGTTTCAGTTGGTTTGTGTGCTACACGTATTCCAAATGGTTTTAGCAGTCGTGCTGTAATTTCTGCTTTGTCTTTTGTATATAGGAGGGTGATCCGTTTGTGTGTTCTTGTACTTGATTTTTCTTCTGTTGATGCTTTCCGTTGGTAATATTTGATGAAGTTACGTGGATAGCCGTTCTTTTGGAAGATGGTCATGAGATATTTTTCTTCTTTTGTAGTACTTCATGTGTGCTGCAGTGTGTTTTCACTCTCTTAAACAAAGTTTATACGCAATTGATTTTGTGAGTTCCTGGTTTGTTGATACAGTAGTTGTGAATTAAATCTGTGTGGCTTGGCTTCCGAAACACTTGAGTCTCAGTTCTGTGATTAATACCTCCAGGGATGATAGTTTGTTGTTTGATTCCTTTTCCATTGTGAATTTTATGTCATCGAAGACGTTGATCCGATTGTGGGTGTTCTGCAGCTCATTCCGTTTAATAATAATGAATATGTTGTCCACATAGCAAACCCACATTTTTGGCTTGATCACTTGTTAAATTGATGCTTTTGGTCTCTGCATCACGGATTCTATGATAAGTCCTGATGTTGGTGATCCCTTTGGTGTTCCTTTCGTTTGTTCGTAGATTATAATACTTGAATAATATCTTGGAACCCTAATCTTCTCCACTATCGCTAATACTTCTATCTCTACCACTATGGGATTTGAAATGAAAAGTACGTCTCCGTGCTAATGTGATGGCATTATGAATTTATGCACCTATGTACGAAGTTATACGTTGTAATTGACTGACTGACTCATTTTTGTTGTTGATTTGGAAGTACGTTGTTAAGTATAAATCCATGAGTTCTAGAAGACTTTGACTCTAATGTTTCGTATACTTTGGGAGATTTGTGTCGACGGTGAGGAGCAGAAATAGAGTTTCTTTACTTGGCTCTCTCGAGCTAATAAGACTATTACGTCGAAGGATACCATCAATTCGTTGTTGTCGACTTAAATTCCCTTGAGTTTATCCGAGAATTGTGTGGGCGAATTTATGGAGTAGTTGGATGAATCCACCGAATATTTCAATATCCTTGAAATTCCTTTTGATAAGTTGTATGTCGGGGTTCTAGCGAGAGATACAATTGGACGTAGTGGGATTTTAGGTTTGGATAGTTTCGGCTTATCGTAGAATCTTGGGGTAAATGGTCCACTGGCTTTCATTCTTCATCGGTCTTGTTTTGATATTTGTCATGCTTTAACAAGCTTGTTTAGAGTCCTTGAGATTTGTTGAGATTGTGTTAATTGGTTAATATACGCTTCAGTTCTCAAGTAGTTCGTCGGCTTTCCTGATATATTCTTCCTGTCCATAACTACTGTAGTGCATCTTTTGCCCTCTGAAACTATGACAATATTTTCCCTAGTTCTGAGGTTCCTTAAGACTTTTCCCTCTTGTGCTGTTAGTTGGTTGTTGTCTCTCTTTCATTGAGTTAGTGGTACTATGGTTTGTCTTAGTTCTTGTTGAGTTTCTTTATTTATTCCGGCCGTTTGGAGTGATGACTCTAGTGCTGCGAAGAATTCGAGTTTCGAAGCGTCACTCTTGTAGTTGAATCCTTTTTGGAGGAGGTTGTCTTCTGTTTTCGTTAGGTGTTATTTCGATAGGTTGACCACACAATCGTTTGAGTTTTTTCTGTAAGTGACTTTAAAATAACGATTGTTTTATCCTTAAGAATGTTTCTTATTTGTTCTCACAATCTGATGATTCTGTAGTCAACAATAGTTCTTTTTAATCAATTACTAATTATATTTTTTTATAACTCCATTGTTTATCTGTCATTTAGGCAGATTATTCGACTGTCCTTCTTGTGATCGTTCCTTCACCTCAAGATCCGGTTTATGGTATCACATTCATCTTGTCCATGATGGTGAGTTTTGTTCTATTTATGCATATATTTTTTGATTTCCTATCACCTGCTTCAAATTGTTTTTATCTGTAACAGATAACCCAAATATTTCCAAACATAACATTTTGATGTTCAAGCATCAAAAAATAATATTTACTAGTAATGGATTCACTGGCATCAAGTACATTCAACCATCTAATCGGCTTTGAATCCATATCCATAATAAATAATACCCGGACTGACTTAAATGTATGAATACATTACTGAAAATACTAAGGATTTATAAACGGAGAATACCGAAGTATTCTGGTATTATTTACCCTTTCAGATAAGTAAATACATTTTCAGCACATGTGACTGTTTCGTAAGAATATCAACAATTAATGGAAATAGGCAAGTAGTTAAAGAAAATTAGTGATTAGGGAATAGATTAGAATAGGCAGAAAATGATCAACCTTAAGAATCAGACTACTTCTTATTAGTAGGTAGTATAAATTCGAACACAAAATACATAAACATGTATGGCTAAAAGTATTTTCCACACTAAATAGCTTAATCATTCGATATCATATTACTTTATGTAACTACTGCTTAAGACTTCAATAGAACGTTATTGATTCATGTTATTGTGTTAAAGGTTTTTTTAGCTTCTGGTAGAACAGCGAGAAGACGTAATTGATCCGGAAAATGTGATGTATTTGCGCTATACATTTCGAACGATATGGTCACACATACTTGTCAAGGCCTTTTTAATTGAAGATTAATAAAAGGTCAATTAAATAAAAGTTTGAATAGACATAAGGTGATAATTGTAAGTGAAGGAGACAGAAAATTAACGTCACAGAGAAAGAATAAGAAAGGGTAGGAAATAGTCACGTTACCCTATGCCATACAATGGCTTAGAGATTACCAGGGTAAATTCAAGGTTGGGGGGGGGGGGGCTTAATTTACGAATAACTAAGGCTTCCATAAACCTTAAACTTTGTTTTTCGATATTTTTATACAATGTTTTGAAGGCTGTGTTGATGTCAATCTTATACCCTGTCTCAATTATGTGTTTTGCGATCGATGAACATGGTTTTCTCTTTCTCACGTTTATCAGCTCATCTGAAGTTAACTGATTTTGAAGCCACTTAGTTACATCACATTTTTCAGATCAGTTACGTCTTCTCACTGCTCTAACAAAATTTATAGAATGGACTAATTGTTTTAAACTTCTGGTTTGTGTTGACAGAGGTTTTATTTTATTGTTCACAGCAATTGTTAGGATATTTTGTCAGAGTATTGAATATTGTCACCATAAGACTATTGGTGAATGCTTTTGTAAGCATTCTTGAATCACTGAACTGCCTTTCTTCTCAGTACTAAAGTTTGTAGTGTTTAGTCGTGTGTACTGTTTTTTTTTGCATGTAATTTAATTTTTATGAACATTTGTTATATATGTTCATCTGTTTCTTTAAATGTAATCAGATGTTTACGAGAATATCAATACTCTGTACACGTGATAAAGTGCTAAGTAAAATTTTTTCATTTTACAGTTCAGTCATTTCAGTGTGATATATGCTCCAGGACATTCGCCCTACGAGTTTATCTTCACGCTCATGTACAACAGGTCCATGGAAGTAAGTTTTTTTCCCAATATCAATATATTTTCATCTTAATATTTTCATGCGTCAGTTTCGATGGTTATTTTTCTATCTATAGATTTTTCAACTACAGATTCCTCCACAGATTATGATGGTTCTTTCTTCCAATTTTTCTTTGATTTCATTCATTATGACTGGTTTTATAATCTTTCGACTGTTTATGAGATCCGTTATGTTTGCTTATTTGATATATTAAGTTTATTTTGGGGCACAGTTTTGGAGGTTTTCGATTTTTTACACATTTAAAATCATCAATCAATCATTGGTAGACCACCATTAGATACCTGGAAGCACTGGACGGCCGTTTCGTCCTGGTATGGGACTCATCAGCAGTGCGCATCCACGACTCCTGCTCCTCGCAGGATTTTAACTCCTATAGTTAAATTTTATCGTAAAATGGGCCTTTAGACATTGGATTCTTTTTCTTCACTGCTGCTTTGCTACAAAGGTAAATTTGTTTCGCTTGTAGCCACGATAAAGAATACATCAACATTTGTGTTTTCGGTTCTATTTACCACTCTCGGTTGTCTTTACCATAAGCTCTCATTTCCAAGTACTAATGCAACATCATTTGAACTATTTATCTATCTCGGTTTTCGTAAATTATTTTATAATCTGTAGTTATGCTATATTGTTAACCACCAATAGTTCAGTCTTCATATACAGTTTTGCCTTGCTCGTTCAACTTTCTGTTTCAGAGAGAATGGTCAAATGCGAACAGTGTGGCGATTTTTTCTTGTCTGGAAGCATTTTCAGGAGACATCAAGAAACTCGACATAAAGGTCAGTTTTCGAAATCTTAGGTTTAAATAGCAGACTGATTTCATTACATGTACAGTGAAAATTGTTGTCCCCCAAATTAAGTAAGAAATTATTGGTGGAAAATTCACCCGTTCTACATAATTCTACATTCCAGCGGGATAACATACAAATACTCTTAAGATGTTATAAGTAGCTCAACAGTATAACCTCTTGTAAGACTGAAACGTTTATCTCATTAATATATCTATGATCATTAATAAGAAATCAGCGATCATGTATTTTCGTTGACAATAAATTAGATTTAGTCCATATACAATTGTCTATATATGGCTGAAAATCCCGAACTCGCACCATCAAATCATGTCTCAATCTGCTATCATATTATTTTTATGAAGCAATTCAGATTTAACTAAAATGCTTACACATAATTCTAGTGTATTTTCTACATTCTTATCACATCAGTTAACTGCATCATGAACACTTGTCTTAGTGTTTTCTCAAAGTTGATGCTTTATATGATGAAATAGTACTTTACTGAAGAGGATTTTGATCGATGTTTCATATGTCATACAGTTTATTTATGTTTTGTCGATCCATGAGTATAACGATGTTTAAGTTCACATGGTCTGTTTGAAAATTTATGGAATCAAACCTTTTAGGGTTTTCATTAATTTTCAGAGATTAAAATTGATAAGAATGTGTATAAGTTTCATTTTTTCTAAAACCGTTTTTAGGCATGAAAATCTCACCGCAACAATACAATTCCCCGGTTCCACGAAAACCAAATAAATTGAGACCTCCTCTAGGTAAACCTGTTTATTGATTTGGTCCATTTTTTGTTGTGTTAATTTAAGGCAAACTAACCTCATTTAAAGAACTACAACTAGATGTATCTTATTTCTGTCTTTATTCTCATTTTCATCCATTCATATTAAGTATATATTTGAAATTTCTTACAAGTACATAACAGTTGGCTTATTATGTTTGTAAATTTTAGAAATGATAACTCTCAAATATCCAAACATTTTTAGAAAATAAACTATTTAACCATATCGATCCAAAATCACTATGTTTATTACCTTTCTGTTGGAAAATAAAATAATAAAAAAACATTCTTTTACTATATTCCCCTTGTCTAATGGTATTCATTCAACACTGTATTGATTTTTGTTTTTGTACTCTAATGATGTTAATTTACACTATAGAAACGAGGCTTATCAAGCCAAATAGCTTATTTGTTCTGATTTTAGTCATGCGAAGATTGTGTACGACAGTCTAGGAGTTAGCTCAAAAATTTCATCTGTAGGAGATTACTTCCTACACAATGCCTTTGATAATTTCATCGCAAGGATGTTCTACGTATTGTTTCTAAGAATTGATTTATTACTTAAACTATCTTCGAGAAATATTAACCTAAACTTTAAAGTATCTATACTACTTAATTAAATATTTTACATTCTGAGTTGAACGATTTTTTAAAACTTATATCCGGAATTCATTGTTAGTCGACATCTGATTTGGAAATTATTAAAAACAAAATATATTGTCATTAATTTTGAATGATCATTTTTAAGCACACCTCTTATTGTTAATTATTTTCAGGTCGACTGATATTCAAATGCGCTAGCTGTAACAAATCTTTTGCCTCCAGATCTGATGTCGCGATGCATTACAGACATGTACACGCTGGTAAGTACATTGCGAATATCCGTGTACCGTTAAGTCATAATTACTCTATTTTATCGGTACATTATCCATTTTTATTGATCAAACACTAGGTAGTTAAGTGTAAATATACTTTTTCTCCATCAGCACGCGACGGATACGGTTTGTGACGTAGTATATTTTGTCACATACCGAGCGAGATAAGTCTTTCTTCTAAATGTCTTATTTCCTTTATTTTACATACAGAAAATTAGTAAATTAATATGAATTCTCACTAAAATTCATAATCACAGAACAGTTTAAAATTTTTTTTACATCCCAATTCAATGTAACTATAAGGTTGGGATTTTTCGTTCCCAGGAATCTCCTTACAAATACACTAGTAATTGGCTTCAACTACGTTATCATGCCACGTTTTGAAGAACCAGCGCTACACAGTAGATGTATCATTTGCTTCTAGGTTAATGAAATCATTAGAATTTTGAAAGTTTTTTTAACCTGATTATTTTATGTAATGTAAATCAACAAAAAGTTATATAGAGGATTTGAGGTTAATTGTACCGTGTTAAAAGGTGTACAAAATTTTAGTTTGTATTTGATTAATAAAGTAAAGTATCATTCACATTGTTTATATTATCTGTCATCTTATTTTTAGCTAAATTAATTAAGTGCGCCGAGTGTGATAGAACTTTTACATCGAAATCGACTTTGCAAAATCACGTACGCGTCGCTCATCCCGGTAAGTTTTGGTTTAATTCAAAGTAATCAATTATATTTAGATCAACGATAGAATGTTTTTTATTGTATAACATTCGTACGTAGTATATTATCATCACAATAATAAGCAAATTATATAAATATTTAAACCTGTCGTCTATTTGTACTGAATATATAAAAATCAAACTATCATGTGTGTGTGTTTATTATTAATAGATGATGATGAAGAAGAGGAGATCGCGGAAGAAGTTGACGAGTATGACGATGAAGATGATGACCAAGTTAAAGTGGAAATCCCATCACCACCTCGAAAACCTCCGGCCAAAACAGTCACCATACTACTTTTCCGTACAAATAAAAAGCTTCGTCTTCAAAACCCAACTGTTTCATAAATACAGTTTTGTAAACTATCCACTAAAGTGCACATATTTTTAATCTACTGTAGATTATCGGTTGTCAGATTTTCTCACTATCAATCTCATTATTATTATTTTGATAAGTGTGTACATTCGTTATTATCGTTCATATTCATATTCATATTATTATTATTCAATAAAACATAACTGTACATAACTTGTCTTGGTGTTATAAGTTAATAATAAAAATTTCCCAATTAAAACATGAAGCCGATCAACCTAACTTTTCAATAAAAAAAGAAACTTAAATGCGTCCCGTTCGAGTAATTCACGGATTATTATCCACATATTTATATGAAAAATTAACTTTTCATCTAATATATATACCAACTAATTATTAGCAGGAAACTCCCAGCGTACAACCTTTGAAATATCGAACAATTTACAGTTAATAATCATAATTTCATTTTAAATACATCCGAAAGTGAAATATGGAAACGAAAATGAAACAAATACACAAGTGCTCCACCTCAACAACAACACAACATATCATATGAGGTGAAAGTACAGCTCACATACAGATTCCTAACGTAATCAATCAATCGACTAAACCCAAAACACAAGCGATTTCCCTACACATCGAACTCCTCTTAAAATTGACATAAAGAACTCTTTAACTAATATCGTTTTATCAGATAATACGAAAAGGCGTTGTGGCGTGCGCCTGTAATCTAGCTACTTGGAGGCCAGGGTGCGGGATTTCGCGGGACCGGGAGTTCTGGCATGTGGGTGCTCATGTTGATCGGGCGTCCACGCTAAGCACGGCGCCGATATGGATGACCTGTCGGAGGACGGGTTGTCCAGGTCGTCTAAGGAGGGGCGGACCGGCCCAGGGGGGAAACCCAGCAGGCAAAAGTCCCCGCGTGGTGCGGTAGCGGGATAGCGCCTGTGAATGGTGGCCATGTGACAGCCCGGTTGGCGCGTGAAGACCGCCTCCTTTTCACCATTACACACACACACACACCACCACCACACCTTACCATCATACTCTACAAATCACCTGACTTCCTTATACAATCCAACAATGCATGCACCCTCCGCATCGTGCTCATTCGCTCCCTAGCCAATCTCAATACATCTCACCAGAACCACTCATTGAACAACCCATACATCTAGCAACATACTCAACTACACACCTCCCACTATACTCACAATCCTTCCTACTGATTCGCATCACTGCTTTCATCGTTGCCATGTGTCTTATCAAACACAAACGACACAATCCACACACAATCACATCTCAATCACTCGCGTCATCAAACAACACAACAACCATCAATGACAATGTCACTGTCACCACAAACTTACACACTAACAGGCGAACTCCACCAATCGTCTACGTCAGGCTCATGACATCATTCTGTGCACTGTCACCCTGGAGGACAACTTCCCACAGTCAATCCGCCACATATGTACACACGCGTATTCAAGATCAACTCACTGCAGTCATCTTGACAAAACGGTTCTCTGTCAGTCTGCTTAAGTCGATCGGTCCGTGAACACGACGCTGGTTCACGTCACGAACCACTCACTTGATTACACGGAATAAAAGTACAGCAGACAGACTACTGACGAGATCAATCAATCGATAAATTCCAGTGAATGTGCGATTTCGTTACCGATCGATTGATTGTCTGTTGTAGGTGACATAGAGAGACTAGGAAGAGATGACATTCATCACTGTTTTGCATCTCCTCACAATCGATCACTCCTCGTGGTAGAACCTGCAATTGGAACAAGTGGTGGTATGAGATAGATAGATATTGAGAAACTGTTCATGTGGTGTCTCTTCTCTATCCCCTTCAACTAGTCATGTCTTCATGTGGACTAGTCATGGTACAGTCGATTAGTTAGTTGTCTGAATGGTGTTGTGTGTATGTGTTTGTACGATATTTGTCAAATAGTGTGTGTGTGTGTGTGTATGGGAGAGAGAGAGAGAGAGAGAGAGAGATTGAGAGAGCATCTCGCATGCAGATAAGATGATAGAACTGAATTGTTTAACGAATGCGACCTGATATGCGTCTGCGGTGATTCGATCTGGAAGTGTATTGTGTTGATTGTAGTGGAGATTGTGGATAGAAGTCTGGTGAGAGTTGTAAATTAAAGTGTGTATATGGTGTCGAATGAGCATAAGGTGATTGTGTTTATATGAAATAGTTGTACGATTGTATACGGGCTGGGCGTGGTGGCGTGCGCCTGTAATCTAGCTACTTGGAGGCCAGGGTGCGGGATTTCGCGGGACCGGGAGTTCTGGCATGTGGGTGCTCATGTTGATCGGGCGTCCACGCTAAGCACGGCGCCGATATGGATGACCTGTCGGAGGACGGGTTGTCCAGGTCGTCTAAGGAGGGGCGGACCGGCCCAGGGGGGAAACCCAGCAGGCAAAAGTCCCCGCGTGGTGCGGTAGCGGGATAGCGCCTGTGAATGGTGGCCATGTGACAGCCCGGTTGGCGCGTGAAGACCGCCTCCTTTTCACCATTACACACACACACACACCACCACCACACCTTACCATCATACTCTACAAATCACCTGACTTCCTTATACAATCCAACAATGCATGCACCCTCCGCATCGTGCTCATTCGCTCCCTAGCCAATCTCAATACATCTCACCAGAACCACTCATTGAACAACCCATACATCTAGCAACATACTCAACTACACACCTCCCACTATACTCACAATCCTTCCTACTGATTCGCATCACTGCTTTCATCGTTGCCATGTGTCTTATCAAACACAAACGACACAATCCACACACAATCACATCTCAATCACTCGCGTCATCAAACAACACAACAACCATCAATGACAATGTCACTGTCACCACAAACTTACACACTAACAGGCGAACTCCACCAATCGTCTACGTCAGGCTCATGACATCATTCTGTGCACTGTCACCCTGGAGGACAACTTCCCACAGTCAATCCGCCACATATGTACACACGCGTATTCAAGATCAACTCACTGCAGTCATCTTGACAAAACGGTTCTCTGTCAGTCTGCTTAAGTCGATCGGTCCGTGAACACGACGCTGGTTCACGTCACGAACCACTCACTTGATTACACGGAATAAAAGTACAGCAGACAGACTACTGACGAGATCAATCAATCGATAAATTCCAGTGAATGTGCGATTTCGTTACCGATCGATTGATTGTCTGTTGTAGGTGACATAGAGAGACTAGGAAGAGATGACATTCATCACTGTTTTGCATCTCCTCACAATCGATCACTCCTCGTGGTAGAACCTGCAATTGGAACAAGTGGTGGTATGAGATAGATAGATATTGAGAAACTGTTCATGTGGTGTCTCTTCTCTATCCCCTTCAACTAGTCATGTCTTCATGTGGACTAGTCATGGTACAGTCGATTAGTTAGTTGTCTGAATGGTGTTGTGTGTATGTGTTTGTACGATATTTGTCAAATAGTGTGTGTGTGTGTGTGTATGGGAGAGAGAGAGAGAGAGAGAGAGAGAGATTGAGAGAGCATCTCGCATGCAGATAAGATGATAGAACTGAATTGTTTAACGAATGCGACCTGATATGCGTCTGCGGTGATTCGATCTGGAAGTGTATTGTGTTGATTGTAGTGGAGATTGTGGATAGAAGTCTGGTGAGAGTTGTAAATTAAAGTGTGTATATGGTGTCGAATGAGCATAAGGTGATTGTGTTTATATGAAATAGTTGTACGATTGTATAGGGCTGGGCGTGGTGGCGTGCGCCTGTAATCTAGCTACTTGGAGGCCAGGGTGCGGGATTTCGCGGGACCGGGAGTTCTGGCATGTGGGTGCTCATGTTGATCGGGCGTCCACGCTAAGCACGGCGCCGATATGGATGACCTGTCGGAGGACGGGTTGTCCAGGTCGTCTAAGGAGGGGCGGACCGGCCCAGGGGGGAAACCCAGCAGGCAAAAGTCCCCGCGTGGTGCGGTAGCGGGATAGCGCCTGTGAATGGTGGCCATGTGACAGCCCGGTTGGCGCGTGAAGACCGCCTCCTTTTCACCATTACACACACACACACCACCACCACACCTTACCATCATACTCTACAAATCACCTGACTTCCTTATACAATCCAACAATGCATGCACCCTCCGCATCGTGCTCATTCGCTCCCTAGCCAATCTCAATACATCTCACCAGAACCACTCATTGAACAACCCATACATCTAGCAACATACTCAACTACACACCTCCCACTATACTCACAATCCTTCCTACTGATTCGCATCACTGCTTTCATCGTTGCCATGTGTCTTATCAAACACAAACGACACAATCCACACACAATCACATCTCAATCACTCGCGTCATCAAACAACACAACAACCATCAATGACAATGTCACTGTCACCACAAACTTACACACTAACAGGCGAACTCCACCAATCGTCTACGTCAGGCTCATGACATCATTCTGTGCACTGTCACCCTGGAGGACAACTTCCCACAGTCAATCCGCCACATATGTACACACGCGTATTCAAGATCAACTCACTGCAGTCATCTTGACAAAACGGTTCTCTGTCAGTCTGCTTAAGTCGATCGGTCCGTGAACACGACGCTGGTTCACGTCACGAACCACTCACTTGATTACACGGAATAAAAGTACAGCAGACAGACTACTGACGAGATCAATCAATCGATAAATTCCAGTGAATGTGCGATTTCGTTACCGATCGATTGATTGTCTGTTGTAGGTGACATAGAGAGACTAGGAAGAGATGACATTCATCACTGTTTTGCATCTCCTCACAATCGATCACTCCTCGTGGTAGAACCTGCAATTGGAACAAGTGGTGGTATGAGATAGATAGATATTGAGAAACTGTTCATGTGGTGTCTCTTCTCTATCCCCTTCAACTAGTCATGTCTTCATGTGGACTAGTCATGGTACAGTCGATTAGTTAGTTGTCTGAATGGTGTTGTGTGTATGTGTTTGTACGATATTTGTCAAATAGTGTGTGTGT